GGAGGGGGGAGAACAAAGGTAAGAAGCAAAGAGACCCGGTCCACGGACCTTCTGACATCTGGGCAAAACTTTGGACTTTGTAGGTTTTTCTGGGCAGATGGTAACACAGCTGGTGCCAGACCCTCGCAGGCTCTCCAACCAGAAGGTGGGCACGCTCCAGCCAGAAGGGCACCCAGTGGGGGCAGTGAGACTGCCGCTCAGTGTTACATTATCTACTCCTCACAGGGACCCCCTGAAGAAATCACGTGTGTCTCCACATCACAGACGGAAACACTAATGCTCCAGGAGGTCAAGGGGTCCCCTGGGGAGACCGTGGCGGAGCTGGGATTTGAACCAGGGATTGGAACAACTATGCTCTTGGTTGTTCCCGGAGCTCAAACTTGTAGGAAAAAGCAAAGACATAAAACCACTTCCGTACCTGATGCTTTTCCAGCAGCAGCCTGGCTACGTCGATGTGGCCACACTGAAGCGCGTCCATGAAGGGTGTGGAGCCACACCTGTCCCTGCAGTCTGGTTGGTACTGGCCCCTGGAGTCCAAACCCACGGTAGGTGACGTGTGGTGCGGACGAGCTGGGACAATCTGGAGCGTGCTCCCCTCCCCTTTCTCCAGAGCCAGCCCACTGTCCCCTGCACCTCCGCTCCCCCTCTGACCTTCCTCCCCGTCCTACAGACCCTCATCTTTCCAGCTTCTTCTGCCAGAAGCTGGAGGTCACCCCTGATCCCTCATAACTGCTGTTCCCAAAATCTCAGTTCCGTGTCCGAAACACAGCCTCCGACCCATCTTCCTCCCCTGGGCTCCTGCCCATGAATCCATTCTCTTAGGTACCCTGGGTGTGGCCATGCCTGCTTAAAACTCGTATGGGCCAATCACAAAGGACAAAATCTAAAACGTCACAACCACGGGGTCAGGACATTGTGACATCCACCCCTCTCTCCAAGTTTCTTCCTTGAACCCTCCCTCCTCCCTGCGCTCACCACACCCCACCTCCTTCCTGTCCCACCTCCTTCCTGATCCCCTTCCTCCCACCTTCTTCTTTGTCCCACCTCCTTCCTGGTCCTCCTCATCCCACCTTCTTCTCAGTCCTACTACCCACTTGTCCTACCTTCTTCAAACTCCTACCTGTTCTACCTTCATCTGGGTCCTGCCTTTTTCTGTTCCTACCTACCTCACTGTCCTATCGTTTCTGTTCTCACCTTCAGCCTATCCTCTTCCTGGTTCTGCTTTCTCAGTACTACCTTCTTCCATTCCGACCTGTCCTACTTTTTCTTAATTCAGCTTCCAAGGTGACCTTCTTCCTTTCCTACCTTCTCCACAGACCTGCCTCCTCCCATCTTCCTTGTTTACGGCACTACCAGTCCCACCTTCTTCCTCGTCCTCTTCTCAGTCCTGACTCCAAACGGACTGACCTTCTGCCCTTCCTATCATCACCACGGTCCTACCTCCTACCTGAGCTTTCTCTGTTTCTATCCTCCTTATGGTCCCAGCTGTGCTACTTCCTACCTGGTCTTCTTCTACTCCTACCATCTTCACAATCCCACCTCCACCTTCTAACACAGTCTTACCTCCCTCGTCCTCCTAACATTTTCCATTCTTATCTTCTCCATGGTCACAATTGTCCTACCTTCTTCCTGGTCCTCTCTTCCTTACAGTCCTACCACATCCACCTGTCCTACCAACTTCCGTTCCTACCTTCTTCTTGGTCGTGCCTCCCACCTGACCTACCTTCTGTTCCTACCTGTCCTACCTCCCACCCATCCTGTCTTCTGTTCCTACCTTCTTCCTGGTCTTCTGTTCGTCCTGGTCCTGCTTCCCACCTGACCCACCTTCTTCCGTTCCTCCTTACCTGACCTCCCTCCTCTCCTATCTTCTTCCATTCTTACCTTCAGGGTCCTATCTCTCCTACCTTCTTGGTCCCACTTCCACCTGTTCTACCTTTGTCACGGTCCTATCTGTCCTACCCTCTCCGTGGTCATTCTCTTCTCCTCCAGTTGCCTAGCTCTTTGCTGCCTTTGCATTTGCTGATCCCCTCTGCTTGGAACACCGTTTCTCCCTTCTTCGCTAGGTGAACTCCAACCTCTCCTTCAAATTACAGTTTCGATATGATCTCACAGAGGCCTCTCCTCTCCCTTCCATCTACCGTACGACCTTTGCTCCTGCACAGCACTGCATGAAGCCCTGTTCTCTTCCTACTATACATCATCTCCTCAGATAACCTCTCCCAGTCTCATGAATTCAGTCAACACTTCTATGTTCATGATGCTCACATTTATAGCTCCGCTCACACCTCTCCTGTGGGACTCAGATCTGTGTCTGTAGCTCCCCACTCCATGTCTCTGCTTGGGTGCCTCACAAGCACATGCAACTCAACGTGTCCCAAAGTGAAATTATCATCTTCCCCGCAAACCTGCTCCTCCTGCAGTATTTTGTCTCAGTAAATGGCACCAGCACCACCGCCGGCTGCTTCAGTGAGAAACCTGTCATCCTTGACTTCTCCTTCCTCATTCCCTTGATCCAATTATTCACCCAGATCTGTTGATTCCGCTTCCTTAGTATCTCCCAATCTCTCTCTCCACCCCTACGGTCAGCATCTTAGTACAGCCACGATTTCTCTTGTTTAACTGTAACGGCCTCCCAACGTTCACTGCACCCACTCCTGCTTCCCTTCCTACCTGCTCTCTGTTTTCCAACCAGAGGACCTTAAAAAATGCAAACTTCTTTTTGCCGTCCACCCACCCCTCTGCTTACAACCCTTCAGTGGGGTCTTATACGTTTCGAATAAGATCTAGAGTCTCACACAGCCCCACCTGAGTCCAGTCTTCCTCTCCAGCCTCATCACGCACTGTCCTCCCTTCACTCCTTAGGTATCAGCACACCCTGAACTTCTCTCAGCTTACTAACACATATGCTTTCTCTCTGCTCCGAGCATTCCCAGGTACTGTTACCCCTGGAATGCTGCCATACCTCCCACGCTCAGCCTCCTTCAGATCATGGCTTAAATATCCCTGGGGCCAAGATTTCACACTCCTGGCCAAGTTGGGTCTCCCTGTCTTATGTTCCTGGAGGGATCCTGCAATTCCTGGCACTCATCAGACTCACAGGATGCGAACAGTGTCTTCTCTGCCTGTGTGTGAGTTCCATGAGGGGGGACCCATGCTGGCTGGCTTCTGTTGTAGCCCGTGCATCTGGCATAGTGCTTAGAGCTTAGATGCTGAACGAATGAAGACATGAATCCTTGTCGAATGAACAGATACATGGATGATTTTTCCCCCTTATGGTTGTCAGCTATTTTTGTGTCATATTCTTTGAGTTATCTTATGTTCTTTGTTCACTTCTCTTTTCGCACTGTAGTTTCTGAGCAATTTTTCTGAGCTCTACTTACAGTATCAATATTAAGCATCACAATCGGTGAATACTTTGTTCAATTTGCTGTTTTGTTCTTACCTCTGCAGAAGCACCTTTACTGCCTCTAAACAGCCATGCATTGCTGGAAGAGAGTTGAGAGTCAGATCCTTTTAGTGCATGTATAAAACTTTCTTTTCCTCTTCTTTCTGCCCTGTCCTTTTAGCTATCACTTATGGGAAGCAGTAATTAGATACACTGTTACCACACTAGAAAAATAAAAATTTAGCTGGGTAAGTGGTAAAGATGTTGCTAGTCAACATTTGATTATCTTGTCTTTATAAGCACTTTCATGGCAAATTCTCAGTCCTAAACTTTCTCTTCAATTTTGTGCTGCAACTCCTTAGGGCCGGTCAGTTTTTGTGTAGGAAAAACATATTATCGTAGACAAACCTATTAATAGTGATCCACAACACAATAACCAGGAATGTAATTCTCCTGCTAAAGACAACCAAACTTGATAATAAAGATTTCAACTATCTGTTCTCCACCACTTTTTGTGAATGGCTAGGTGCTGATTGTTTCTAGTTTCTATGGCAACTAGTCAAACAATTCAAGAGCAAAATGAAAAGTTTTTCTACTCACTTATAAAGTGCTTCCCCCCCCCCCCCTTTTTTTTAGTTGAGAGAGACAGAGAACATGAGTGGGCAGAGGGTGAGAGAGAAAGAATCTTAAACAACACTTAGCATGGAGCCCAAAGCATGGCTCAATCTCATGACTACGAGAACATGACCTGAGCTGAAATCAAGAGTAGGATGCTTAACCGACAGGTGCCCTTCACTTATAAAGTTTTAGAAAGAATTCCTTGGTCTCTAACTGCTCTCTGTGGCCGTAATAATTGTATGCGTATTTCCTAAACTATATCGTGTCACAGGTATTCATGTTTTGAGAAACTATAGCCCTGTATTCTAATTCAATGTGCTATGCAGAAGGCTGAAGATTATTTTCTAAATTTTTTTTTTTTAAAGTTTATTTCTTTTTTGGGAGATAGTGAGTGGGAGAGGGGCAAAGAGAGGGAGAGAGAGAATCCCAAGTAGGCTCCACGCTGTCAGCACAGAGCCCGAAGTGGGGCTTGAGCCCACAAACTGTGAGATCGTGACCTGAGCTGAAATCAAGAGCTAGGTGCTTAACTGGGTGAGCCACCGGGAGCCCTTATTTTCTAAATGTCTTGATCTGGACTTTTGAGGTCTTTAATATCTGTGTTATACCACAGCACTTTTTGCTTTCCACTAATTAAAAATAATCTACAAATAGGCAATTCAGATTTAAGGATAATCACTCAGTTGTGCCCCAAGTTTTTATTGACATTATCACTGGATAAGTCAAATACACTCAGGCCCAGGTACTTAATTACAAGCACCTACATTTATTTACATGGTCAGCACTACGGTAGGTGCTGCTGATGATGTGCAGAAATACAGTCTCTTTTTATCCTGCCCGAAACAGTAACAACGTAAGAAGATGCTGAAAATAGCAACACCCAGCTGTTCTGTGCTCACTGTGCATCAAGCACTGTGCCAAGGGATTTATGTACATCACGTTCCTTGAAGTCTACAACAACCTTGTGGTACAGGCATCATTACGGTCATGATTTTGCTGATGAGGAAACTCACTTAAAAGACTAAGTTCGGGGGCGCCTGGGTGGCTCAGTCGGTTGGGCGTCCGACTTCGGCTCAGGTCACGGTCTCGCGGTCCGTGAGTTCGAGCCCCGCGTCGGGCTCTGGGCGGATGGCTCAGAGCCTGGAGCCTGTTTCCGATTCTGTGTCTCCCTCTCTCTCTGCCCCTCCCCCGTTCATGCTCTGTCTCTCTCTGTCTCAAAAATAAATAAAAAAAAAAAAAAAAAAAAAAAAAAAAAAAAAAAAAAAAAAAAAAAAAAGACTAAGTTCGTTGTCCACGGTCAGACAGTAAGGCACAGAACCAGCTTTCTGTCTAGGAAACTGGGGAGGATTGGACAGATATACAGGAAAAGCAAATGAATGCGAGGAAGAATGTCTGCGCCACGTTCCATTAGTTTGGACAGCAAACTGTGTGCCAAGATGCCCCAAAGCTGCTCTTATTCCTGGCCCTCTAGTTTCCAAACCCCACCCCCGTGGGCGACTCTAACTAGAAGGCGTTCTGCGGCGTCAGGCCAAGTGGCTGCACATCTACGCATGCGTCCCTGCAGGGCTCCTGGCCGTACCTGCCGTGTGCAGGGGGGTTCTCCCGATCTTGCTCTCCGTCTTCCAGGCGTCTGGGCAAACAGTGAGCAAGTACTGGAGGATCACAGGGTCCCCCTCTCGGCTGGCAACGTGGACACTGTTCCAGCCGTCTTTGTTCTTGAGAAGTGGATTAGCGCCATGTTCCACAAGGTCCTGGATCACCTCGAGATTCCTCCTTGTGCAGGCCATCATCAGTGGGGTCCTAAGGCCAATGAGGACAAACCATCAGACGGAAGGGCAGCTGAGACGTTAGAAGCGTGCGACCAGGTCTTCAGAAAATCACGTGTCCTTGGCAGAGATGAAAACCTACGGGACTCGGGGGTCTGGGAAGCAGGAAAACAGCTTCGATGGGCAACTTCTCTGCCTGCTGTGAGGCCCCTAGAATAGGTGTACCTGAAGGAGGGGAATAGCGAGGAGGCAGGCCCGCTTCTGAACTAGTTTACACTATGGGACTGAACTGAGACAGAGCGAATCGAAACCACAGTCTGTCTTGTAGTATTTGTGTAAGAGGTACCCTGCCAGACTTATCCCATTTACTTCAATCAGTAACTGTTTCTTAAATTGTGCTGAGAAGGCATCAAAAAAGAACATTGGACATAGTGCCTCCCCATGAGGAGCACACATTGGTGACACAAACCAAACAGTGTGACTATAAGAAGTTTCTGAACTGACTTGTGTCCACAGTTATGGGAATAAGCTACATGAATGTCAAGGGAGGTGGCTCTATCCTTCCTTTTCTGCCACATAAATGATTTGGATGAGCCATTTCAATTCCATGAGCTTCTGGTTTCTTCCTTGCAAAATGAGGAAGACACAACCCCTGGAAAGCAAGGGCAGATCTTACTTACCTCCTTATTCCCAGGGGTTAGAACCCATGTCTGGCACACAGCGGGGAGCTCACTATACCTGGATGACCTCCAAGGCCTCATCTAGGATCTAGCTCCTAAGATTGTTATGATATTAATTTATTACCCACACTTTGGGGGAGGGTGTAGTAGTGATAGTAAGAGGGGGAAACCCAAATAAATGAAGACTGGAACCTTCCAGAAAGACTTCACAGAGGGAAGAATCTTGAGCAAGGCATGAGGATTGGAAAAGCAGGGAAGGTACAGCAGAAAGCCAGGAAGGGGAGAATGGGCAAAAATGCCTCCCTAGGACTATACCTGCCAAATACATCGTCAAATGAACCTTGCCCTTTAATGGTTTTTTGAGGGGAGGCCGGTTCCCCACAGAATTGTTTTGAGGCACGTATGAGGTAACGTGTTTCTTGTTAAGGTCTTTAGACCTACTGCCCAGCAGCAGCAGAAATTCAGTCTTGTGCTAAGTCATGGCCAAAGTGCAGCCCTCAACACATACCCATGCAGACTCCCCCATCCCAGTGGGCAAGACACACTTTATTTAACTATAAGGCTATCTGCCGTGGCTCATACTTCTGTCAGATCAGGAATCTGTTGCAGGCAGGAACTTCATTACGTTATGAATCTTAGGCTGTTCATAACCCCTAAGGAGGCCCAGGTAGTGAGTACTGAACACAATGTCGCTCTAACAAAATGCAGCTGGTTTGGGTGATGGCACAGGTGAGTATGTGGACTGTGGAGGCAGTTATGCAAGGCTATTCCCGTGATAAGATCACACAGAGCACGGCACACACTCAAGTGTCCTTACAACTGGTGAAATCTGAATGAGTACACTGACTGCAGCAACGTCAGTTTTAGTTTTGATATCGTACTGCAGCTGTGTAAGATGGTACCTTTAGGGGCAGCTGGGGGGGTGGGCTTGTGGGGCTTCCAGCAACCTTTGTTTGCAACCTTCTGTGCACCTTTAACTATTTCAAAGTAGCAAGTTCAAACAATGACACTGGTGTACTCATGCAGCTAGGCGAGGCTCAAGCTATACAGGGTACAGACAATCCCCTGTTTGATCGTATTCTATACTCTTTCATGAAGAGAACGGGTTTGGAACACAAGGTTGGAGCACTTGACCCCGCAAGAGTAGGAACAGTGGTCGCAGTGGGTCATCTGTCCTGTCGGGGAAGGCTGAGAAGCTATGGGGTCGAGGTGGACAAAGTACACGGGAATCTGGGACTCTGCGGAAAAGGGGACGGGGGAGAGATCTTTCTGGAACTCCAGCCACCTACCAGTCGGCCTTCTTGAGGCAGTCCACCGCGGCTCCCCTGCCCAGCAGGTATCGCACGCAGTCCCGGTGGCCCATGGAGGCAGCCTCGTGCAGAGGCCGCTTGTAGTCCCGGTTGGCGGCCTCGATGTCCATGTCCCAGGACTCCACCAGGTAGGCCAGCACGTCCCGATGGCCGTGGCGGGCGGCGCAGTGCAGCAGGGTGTCCCCGGCGGGCCCCGGGCAGCTCGCGCGCCCGGCTCCCCGCAGCTCCTCCCGCAGGGCGCACAGCCGGCCCTCCTGCGCTAGCCGGTAGGGCCGCCGCGGGTCCCCGGGCGCCGCCATGGCCGCGCGGGGCGTCCGGGGCCCTCCAGCCCTGCGCCCCCCACCCCACACCCACCCGGCCCCGCTGCTCCG